TATTCTGGAATTGTGCCCGGTATATGGCAATAGGTTCACCCCCTATTACATGGGATTCATAACATGAATAATGAATAGTGGGTGCTACATTATATAGTGGCATTAAGTGCCATATGGTGCACCTCTGTCTATCCCTTCGGGGATAAGAAGCCTGATATTATGTATGATTCATTATCGGATTGTAATCGAAACATGGTGAAAGTATGTGTTTAACAGTGGAATAAAGAGCTTCTAACAGACTCCAGATATGATTATGCTGTGATTTTTCATGTTTGATGATTTTTCATTTAAGTTCAAAGTACGTATCGTTTGAGTAACTGTGCAAGTCACTTAGCACCTATTGTATTCAATTTTACAAAAAGTTAGAATTTTATAAAAATATCTTTGATAAAGGTATGACTGCACGGTTGGTGCGGTGGCTGGGCAACCGACTGCTTTTCACTATTTATGTTATGAGTCCCAAGTAATAGGGGGTGAGCCTATCGCCATATATACCGAGCACATTTCCAGACTCGCTGCTACTACTGATTTTTTTTTTAAACCCAGTAGTACTTTGCCCGACCCGGGAATCGAACCCGAGACCCCTTGCCCGGTAGTCGCACTTGCGACCACTCGACCATCGAGGCAGTCAGTATAGTAGAGGCAGTAAAAAAATATACGAAAAAGAATTTAATAAAACAAATAAATGACTTCAGACATCTGTTTAAAAGCCCAAAACTTTAAGATGCAATAATGCCCCCAAAAATCTATAGCATAAAAGTAATAAGAAAACTTACTCCAAATAGTGTTCCAATATCGAAACAATCTTAGCCATACCTTCATATCTTTTACAAAGAACAGTGAACTGTATAAATACAGTCTCAGGAGTAAGATAACATATTTAGGCTTTGTATGAAGTTGGCACTGGACGGCGATTCCACGATATGAGTCCCTCAGGACGGACGTGTGGACTAGTATTCTTATTCATAGTTACACATAAAATTATACATCACCAGTATAAACTGACTGTTTAACGTTCAGTAAGATCGTATATGGCAAGATCATGATAAATTGGTTGTGTATAGGTCGATGTGTAGTTGTGTGTATAATGGTAGAAAAATCTGGAAGATCCAAGGTCATCGAACTTAATGTGGGACACTCTTAGTAGTTCGGAAACTCTTTGCCAAGTTTTCCAGTTTGCCCCTACCATATGGTACACATGTAGGTATGTAGGAAATGTGTATAGGGAAATAACTGAAACTATTACTTGGGACTCATAATATAAATAGCGAAAAGTGGGTGTTACTCCTGTGTGCACCTCTGCCTACTCCTTCGGGGATAAATACAATAATATTTACAGTATATTTGCAGAAATGCTTAGGATGACCAATTACTGTTGAATGTCATTTTATTCAGTGTGAAAATGTGAACCCTTCTCAATTCTCACGCTATTTGAGTAAGTAATAAACATTAATTTATTAAGCTTAGTGTTAAGATCTTGTGCAAATATTTTTGTAAATTAATAATTTCATAGCAACGTTTAGTGTTTCGTTAAATAAGTTTGTATGTTAAGAATGATTGAACCATTTTTAGGTATGTATGGAATGTTAACAATGGTTGGGTTGAGCGAAATGTTATATATGTACAATAATTTCAGCTAAGAAAATGAATTAGCTAATATTTTTTTAATACTATTTTATTTCTTAATATAAAATAATATTACTGACATTTTTGGCAACAGAACATGTTACGTAATACAATTAAATTGGAAAATATTGGGTTTCCAAACAAACCAGAAACGAGATGTTGAAGTTTTCCAATAATACTTAATCCTTCGTGTGCGATTCCAATTCCAAATACTTTTTATTGATCCCAAGACCGCTCTTCTGTTATTTGGTGTTTGATAAAATACGCTGGAGATAATCGATATTTTGTTTCGACATAAAACGCTTTGTTATCGAACTCAAACCCTAAAAATGGACAATATATTATTCCATCAAAACCGAAAATAACGCAAGCCAGTCTTAATCCCTTAATTAACCATCCCAAATTTTAAATTAATTTGGTTGAAAGAAAAATATGCAAATTAATTGTTCAGTCCGGGTCTACCTGACCCGTGACCTTGAATAATGCGTAGTCGTGGCGTAGCGTTGCTACGCGCTGCTACGAATCTGCTACGAACTGTCTACGAATTGCTACGGACCTCTGAGGTTGAACTACGTTGCGAGTTTCGATCTGTAATTACGTTTTTCGAATTGTTATTTTGGTAAAAGGATCACGTATTTTTGTTACTTTTGCTGCCTACTAGTGCCTACATATTTGATTTCAAATCGACCCAAACAGATTAGTTATTCATTTAAATTTACTGTAGTAACATTAATCATCTGAAACTTGCTCTAGAATCAGCAGTAAATTCTACTCTACTTAAAATATTATTTGAGATTAATTACTGTTATGTTGATATTTTTAAGTATTTTTACGTAAGTATATATTATGTGTTCAGTTCAAATTCTTCTTAGATAGTATTTTTAAATATAGAGGTACTTATGGGATTCACAATAATATTTTTTCCTACAAAAATTCATAGTATCTGTACATTTTTCTATTTACAGACCCCTTCTAAACATCATAACATATATTCTTATTAGAATCGAACGACTTTTCAACAAGTTTTACATTATTACACCCACGTGTGTCCCTTTGTTAAAAGTCAACCGTCCAGAGGATTGGAAGTCGCCCAGCTAATGTAAAATTACTCTAGAATGCGGCTCCATACCAAACCTTTTAATACCCAATTGAATTAATAGAAATTCAATCATGACTTCGAAAAAATAAAGTCGATTTTTCTTTGCTGTGTGGGTTTTAATCCGGTCGCAAAAGTTTTCATTGAATAGTGAAAAGTGGTTACTGTTTGTGATAGTTGAGCTTAGGATAAGTGGGTTTGTGGATGTTAAAGTTAATTTTATTATTGAGTAAAGTAAATATTGTGAAAATGAAGAGCTCAAATTAGACACATCTGCCATTATCAAGTTAGTACATTATTAGGGGCCGGCTCGACCGGAGTGATACCACGGCCTCACAGAAAACCGACGTGAAGCAACGTTTGCGTTGTGTTCCGTCGTGTGAGTGAGGTTACCGGAGGCCCAATTACCCTCCCCTTCCCCAATCTCTCCAATTCCTGAATCCCCAATGATCCTCAAACTCCTAATCCCCAAAAGGCCGGTAACGCACTTGTAACGCCTCTGGTGTTCCAGGTGTCCATGGGCGAAGCCGATTGCTTACTTTCAGGTGATCTATCTGCGCGTTTACCGGCTTATGCCATAAAAAAAACTGATACACGGGAAGCAAGTTCACTAGTAGTTTTATTAAGTTACAACCTTTAGAATTCCAGAAGTAAGTCAAAACTAATCTTCTTCTATTTTTGAACTATTTTATTACAACTTTCTTAAACATTTTATTTAACCACAACATTTTATTTAAACACACTATACTAAGTATTACAGTCCATTACGTATTTCAACCTCAATCCCAAAAACCAATTCGTGATCAACATAAACCACAAACAAATAAATCACTACAAAACGGATATGAACTAAATACCCTAAATATTTACGTTTCGTGCTTATTACACGGTCGCTAATTAGGCATAAAAATGTATGGACGCAATGAACACGCTATTATTTGAATGAAGTAATTTGCTTAATCTGAACACTAACATGAACAAGTTAGTACTCAAGTGAGTTTTCTTTAATTGAAAATATTTAAATACAGAAATTGTAACAATTGCTTTTAAATATCCACCAAGTCAGTACAGGTTAAATTTTTCAAAAACAGTAACAGAATTAGTCTAGTTACAATTGTAATTACATTTTTTTTGGTAATGTAATTACATTGTGTGTTTGTCTCTTCTGTCGAAGGGCTGCAAGAAAATAAGGGATATGCTGTACCTTTACTTTGTTTTGTATTTTTTTGATTTTTTGTTTTGTATTTTTTTTTAGTTAAGTAAATACTTTATATTGTTCAATGTCTCCGGGGGTCACCCGGGCCTGGTGATCTGTAACACAGGTTATACCTTTAACAGACACCAGTCTCTTAATTGTAACATATTAAAGAATTTGTATCCGTAGAGTATTTTTGAGAAAATAACATAACA